GAAATTGATGGCTTGTTTTGCCCTATTTGCATGGAGGCATGGACCAATTACGGTGACCACCATATTTGGTGCGAGCAATCAGTATCACTTTATTCCTTTCTCTCGCGCTCTCTCTCTCTCTCTCTCTCTCTCTCTCGCTGTATAGATATATATTTTGCAAGGATCCTTTATGTGTGTGACGCGTTTTCTCTTTCGAAACATTTTGTAACTTTTCAAAATTTCAATGAAAGGTTCTGTCCCTGTTCTGCAAGGTTCTGTCCTTGTAACTTTTCAAATTTTCAATGAAAGTGTGATTAGTTGTTAATTTCTCAGGCCTGTTATTTCACTTTGTCGATGATGGATTACAAGATCTTGACCACGAGGCTATAAAATCGATCGCTCATGAAATTTTGTAGTTAGTTTATATTTGAACTTGCACAAAAGTTGCTAGAGTTAGCCGTTCAATTAAGATATCCTCATATACCATGACATCGAATACTTCTTTATGTATATCAAAACTCTATTTTGAACATTTTGATTTATGGGCTTGTACTATGACTTATTTAGATTATAGTATATGTTTGTTCATCTTGATTAAGCCTTTTGTTTTTGCAATTTATACTTTTCATGGTGAAATTGTTTAACCGTTAGAGCCAGTGATTTGTAAATGAACGAGATCATTACCCGTTTTAATGTCCCTTTAAGTCATCTAATTGTTTCACGTGACTGCAGTTGTCTTCCTTGTGGGCACCTGTATGGCATGTCTTGTATCAATAAATGGCTGCAACAACGTAGAAATGCAGGGAAGGTATCTTTTCACACAATGTTAAGTCATGGTTTTGGATAAAATGTGAATAGTTTACTAAAAATCAACTCACACTCCTTCCCACAAAAAAAAAAGTGTCCACAATGCAACAGGAAGTGTTCCTTGAAGGATGTCAGAAAAATTTTTGCATCACGAATTGTTGCTGCTGATGAAGAATCTCAAAAGGTTATTTATTTATTATTATTTTTAATTCTATGAGCTGATATGTATTTTAAGTTTTGAGGAGGAAGCTAATATTGATTAGGATTCTGCTCTTTTTACAGAGAATTCAGTCACTCGAGGCTACTTGTGCCTCTCTTGAGAAGAAGGTCTGTTGAGACCAACCATTCTTTAAATAAATATAATCTATCTTCTAAATTTGCTCTAAATATATTTTTCGATTTTCTTCTCATTGTGTATCTCTTAACATGTGATGTATCTCTTATGTTTGTTCATTATGGTCTTCAAGCCCTTATATATATTTTTTATTTGATCTATATTTTGATCTTTTAACATGATGTATCTTTTATGTTTGTTCCTTATGGTCTTCAATGTGTAGAATACAAATTGGTGTAGAAAAGAAGTTGAATGGAAAAAGAGAGAAGCAGCTTTGCAGTTAGAAGTTCGTGAACTTACTGAGGTATGTTTATTTTTTGATAGGAACTGAGGTATATTTCTATTGCAAAGATTTAATTACTCCTCTTCATAAGCTAATTTGGGTGTTGTTAAATAACTTAAGTTTATCTAGATATGGCATCTGCCACATCATATAGTGCACTAAGGTTGCTTTCACTTTTATACTTCTCCCTAGTCTCTTCCTCTCAATTTTTTTGTTGGTTTTTTGCTGTATGCCTTCTATTATGGGATTTTGGCTATTTACTATTGTGGTGTTTTTTTAGATTGCTGACCAAATATCAATCTTATATGTCTTGTCTCAACTGTTTTCATTGAGTATCATTTTCTAACTTCAACTGATTGCATCTTGCTTTAGTGAAAAGGTCGTCCCTATGTTTTTGAAGTTTGTGGCTTTTTATGCACATTCATGTCATAAACAATCATGAAATAATCCAACTCAGTGCTCGAGTCACAAACAAAATGTACCTAGTTTCGGGTTCGATAGGCCATCTCTTATGGCATAGTTTGAATTGATGCATTCGAATAGGAGGTTCAACTGACGTCTTCGGAAATATTGAATGCCTTATTCCTTTTGGAATTGTATTTCTACCTTTACCTCTCAAGAGGCCTGCATTTCCATATGTTTTCTTCTTTTTTCTGGTATTCATCCTAATTAGAACACCAATGTCACCAACCCTTGGATGTTTGGTACCTAAATATATTTTTGAATCTGCCAATGAACCCAACCATACATCTGCAGCGACTTAACCAAACATTTCCTAGTCTTAGCTTGTCCATATATTTTCAAGTGTAGTAGACTGCCATAAGTAGACATCTTTTTCCTCTTTTCCAGATTCCCTTAAAATTGATATTGATTTAGAAAAGATCCCAAGCAAAGCGAGTGCAAGTTTTTACGGAAGGGTGCTGATAATGAGGGAAGAATCCATTTATGTAGTTGGAGTATAGTGAGCATTCCCTTAATTTTGGCAGGTTTTGGAGTTGACAACATCAGAAGTAAGCTCTAGTATTTAAATGGTTGTAAGAGGTATCCCAACCAAAGTCTTTAAAAGTATATATTGCAAGGATATTTTGAGTCAGTACATAGGCTTTAGTATATTTTTGCATAGTAGAGCTTGTTCGGTTTTGATTGCTGGTGATGGGTACGGAAGAGAGAAGTAAAATTTTAGGATGGTTCTCGGTTGAAGCTCTATAGTATAAATGTCTTCTTTTAATCAACATTTTCAAAGTACGCTGGAAATATTATTATCATGCCAGTTTGTTAAACCAACTAATCTATAGATATAATTTTTTTTTTCATTTGACTATTTGAGTTACTACTATTCTGACCTCAGAATGAATATTATCATGATGTAACCTTTGGGTATTAGTATTGAAATGTGAACACTAGGGCATGTGCGGATATGAAGAACTAGAATTTCTTTCATTGTTCTTATCAGAAGCTTTGTTTCTTTTGATAAAACATATCTTTGACGTTTTTGAATGAGGAGAAGAAATGCATCCTCATCCAACCCAAATTCAGCTTGCCACTGTATAAACTGAATGTAGGAGGAGTACCTATAATAGAATGCACTTGTTTTCCTTTCTTCTCAAACACATGTCTTGGACTTCTAGTTTCTTATTTTATCCCTTGATAATTTAAAAAAAATAATAAAAGGAGAGAAAAAATACAGAAGAAGAAGGAGATCCATTTTTGGTTTAACAACCAATTTGCTCTATAGGTTGTACTACTATGTCCTTGAGATACGAAAATCCATCTTTGGTCTAAATAAATTGAAGGGGAAAGGAAACTTTTTTTTAGGACAACTGTATGTTGCTTCCAGTTGTAAACAAAATTACAAAATGGATTCCAAACCAAACCAATAGAACTTTGATTTTAAACCGTTTTTGTTTTATTTTATGAGTTTTTTAATTCTCAAGCAATTAATATCTTGTATATCTTTCAAAGTGTATATTATGTTCCTATATTTTACAGAGGACAAATTATTTGGAGCATTTATTAGAAGATTCAAAGAGAAAACCTGGATTAGCCAATCTAGATTGCAACTTTCAGGGTAAATCTGTATCTGTTACTTGCCGTTTATTAGAGACACCTGCACTTTGGAATTTTTGTTGCTGTAATTGCATCATGTCTGTCTGGACTCTGAACTCATGATTTTATTGTGGATGGTTTTCCATTGATATATCATGCAGAACACAGCTGCGGCTTAAAGTTTAGTGGGCAGGTTTCTACTTGCAGTTTCATATTAGAGGTACTCTATTGGTTATTATCATTATTATTTTTTCCTTGTATGCTAATGAGATCTGTCTGATAGTATATGCTATCTGAAAAGTTTATCGAGTTGCCGTCATATAATCCTGACATCACAGTTTGATAATTTAGAAAGATCTGCCGGTTGATGGTGCTCGTTTAATCGATGTAGATGCCTCTAACCAAGTTGTTTTGGTTGCAAGAAGGCAGTCTGGATTTGGTGGTACACACGTGCTTACTAAAGTATGGCTTCTCATTTTTTTCGTGAACTTAATTTTTGTAGGCATTTCAATATTGGAAACCAACGGTCTGTTTCTTTTTGTAAATATACGTTCTTCAGATAAGCTTAATGTCTCCACATGAAAGCGAAGATATGACGCTCCCTTATTGTAACAATGCTGTAAAGGACTTGCATATTTCTCCGGCTGCTAGAAATCTTGTTCTTTTCTCTTCATTGGGGAAGAAATTAGCCATTCTCAGGTGCTGTACATCTTTGGAATTGAATATAGGGTTCTTTCTTCATATATTTTTTTCTTCACTTGATTTATCTATTCTATCAAATCATTGCAGTATGGAAAGCAACCATATCATCCTTGACTATGATTTACCGGTAAAGTTTCCATTTTTTACCTAAGTTACTGTGTCAAAGAAATACAAACCAGTTATCTTTTTAGAAGTTACGATATAGCAATCTCTCAAAGAAATACACATAGATTACTTAATTATTACTACTACATAAGCTTACTGATGAACTTGAGGGGAATTTAAGATTATTTATGATTTTAACTCTTGGTCCTTTTGCATTTCCTGCATGCTATGCTTTTTAATTGTTACAGCATCTACTCATAGAATTTATAATTTTACTTTCAGTGTCTTGTTTTGGTATTATGCTTCCTAAAGAGTATGTTATTGTTTGTGATGATATGAATTTAATGGAAGCTTTTTGCAATTGTTTCAATGATTTATAAATGAAACAGCACGATATTAGCTGGAGTTAATTTTTTAGTTCATAATGTCTTTTTTTGTTGCTCCAAGTTTTTTTAGTTTCATGACATCTATCTAATTGATGGGGGCACTTCAACAATGAAGTGTAAAAGCGACTTTGAGCCTTTAGTCAATTATGAGGTCTTCATTCAGTTTTTATTGTTTGTTAGAGACGACTTGAACAATCCATTAAAGGAGTGAGGCCCATATGTGGTAAACTTGGAAAGTATGCTCTCAAACATGGTCTTGAGTGGTGTAGGATTAGATCGCCTCTCATCTACATGCTTTGACTTTTGGGTAATGTGGTGTAGGTGTGCTCTTGGTTAAAACTATAACAACCATGTTACCGTGTCTTAATGTTTTTAATATTGTGGATGCTACTCTTGAAGAGGACTCAAATGTAATACCAAAGGACTGGCGATAACAAAGGCAGAGCAATCTATGTAAAGATGTTGCTATTTAACCAACTATTTAACAAAGTAAATAAACTATTGCAATGCTGTTTCCCAGCCTTCTGAAGCAGGAAGATTAGCAATATGAAAATTAGGATTATCTTTCTCCTAACCAAAAGGCTTTGGAAGTTTCCAGTGGAACATGAATCCTTGTGGCATGGCGTTAGTTCCAACACATGCGGTAAGGAGGATCACATCCTTGTGGAATGAGTCCTTGTGGATTAAATTCTCAAAGTAACCTTAAAGAGGATTACATGAAGTAACGGGTGGGAAAAACTCCTTTAGATGCTGAAAAATATTTACTTTCCGATACTTAAGGGATTGTATTATTTGGAAGGGATTGTATCATTTTCCTTCACTTAGCTCATCCTCTTTCTTAAATGCTCTTCAAGGCTCTTTGAAAAGACAAATTTCCCAAAAAGGTTATGATCTTATGCCACTACGCTGAGATTTAAATAGTAGATAAAGTGCTATGCCCTAGGATCAGCCCTTTGATAGCTACAATGTCAAGCACCATATATCTTGGTCCTTGAAGTGGAGGCCTGTATAACTTATCTTTTTAATTAGACTTCATGATATGAATTACTCGAGTTATTTCTATACTTTCTACGATGTGGCCTCTATAAGGATTTGGGATTTGAAAAAATGCATAGAGATCTTTGGTGTCCAAGAGTACTATTACGATATTACCTTTAGATGGTGCACTTTGGGTAGGAATTTTTATTTGATATTTATACCAATTGGGAGCCTTTTCTTTTCACCTTTGGTAGCCCTGAGAAAAATTGTCTCCCTTTTTCTTTAAATAGTTATTGTTTAACTCAATGAGTTAATTATCTCATATAAGAAGTTAGAATTTACTAAGCAATTCTATCTGACATTCCAGTGGTTGTTTTTACTGTTGTCCTAGTAAATGTTTTATCTTCATCTACTATTGTTTCTCTTTTTTAGGCAACTCTTTATCAGTTGTCACTCTAGGTGGGAAGTTATCTAATCAATTGAGGTCAATTTGCCCCTAATGCTACTAGTTTTGGGTTGCAGGGTAGTATGTTTTTGGGCTAAAGCACAAAATCAAGTTTCAATAAATGGAAGGTATTATGAATAATTAAATAATTAAAAAATAAAGAATTGGAGGCTTTCTAAAGATAAGTAGATTGTTTCTTATTTCGTATTTCTTATTTCATCTCATAAATGTCACATTTTTCCATCTGAGATGAAAACTTAGGAAGTTGAAGCTCATCATTTGGGTGTTGATCAAACCTCGAAAACTCACGATTGTCATGTTATACACTACATGTTAAAATAAAATTCTTTTAGCAACATTGGTTTTGCATTGTTGTACCTTTTAAAAAGTAGGCATGCATACCAGTGGTCTACTCAATTTCATGCATAGCGGGCAGATAATAGTATTGGCTGCTTTATTACTTCTCTAGGCTCAATCTGGTCAGTGTCAAGCTTTTAAATTCTCACTGTATTATGTTTTTATATCAATGCTTGTCTCATCAGTATGCTGCTTGGTCGTGCTCATGGGATCAGAATAATTCACACCATGTTTATGCTGGATTAAAGGTCAGTTTAAACTTTCCTAGTCAGTTATGAAACTTTTATTGAGCTTATGATGGGTTGTTCAATAATTCTCCCCCTTTTCAGAATGGTTTGTTCATGGTGTTTGATATGCGCCAAACTGTGGGACCCTTGAAAACCTTTCAAGGCCTAACTAGCAATCCAGTCCATACTATACATTCTCTTTCAAGTACCTCGACACTTTCAAATGATGTTAGATCTGTTCTGTCTGCTTCTGCATATGGTGTATGTCGTTGGACTTTAGATGCCTTGGAAGAAGGGTAAGCTGATGTTCTATGAGTACATGCTTTATGCTAGTGTGCAACCCTGCAGTTTTTTAGCTTGTTTTTTGGTTGATGGGTAAATATGGAACATTAGTCTCTTTTTTCACTGTGCTTTATAACCAAGTTATCATATGGTAAAATTATCATGTCTTGAGAACTCAAGGACACAAAGGTAAACCTATAAAACAGATCCTGTTTAAGTAAGGTTGTAAAATTATCGCGTCCTTTACTAATGCATCCAGAACTTGCAAAATGTGGTATGTTATAAACATTTTATGCATTGATTTATTACCCGTAATGCACACCACTCTGCTATACTAACTGTCTTTACTATCCAGATTTATTGTGTCACACAAAGATAGTTGTACCTTTTGGTATATGAGTTGTGATTTTCTAGTAGTCTTGTGGTTTCACCTCGGTTCCTAAAAGGGAAAAATAGGCTCTTAACTAGTTTTTGTCGTGATCTAATATTACATAATTGCCATATTTTGAAGGCCGTTTCTGGTTCCAGAAACAAATCAAGGAGTTTGTACATCTCTTGCCTATTGCTCAAGTAGAGGCGAAATTGTCGCTTCGTACCGTCCCAAAGTTGGAACGTCAAGTGAGACAGCTTATACTCAGCTTTCACCTGCTCCTTCCCACACTGCTGGGCACAGAGTAGAGGGCTGCCACGTGGCATTCAAGAAAGAAAGAAATTTCCAATTTTCAAAGTTGGGCTCTGGATATGCCAATATAGACACAATACGCCTGCCAAAGTCTGCCATCATAGACTTCCAAGATTGCAGCAGTATGTTTGTATCTGGAGATTCAGTAATGGGTGAATTGACCTTGCATGAACTGACTTCATTTAGGTCTGTTCAGCGTCTTAAAGTTCATAAGCATCCTGTTCGTGATGTGAAGTATTCGTACGGCTTGGGTCGAGGATTGCTTAGTTGTATAAGTGATGATATTCTGCAACTTTTCATTACCGAAGGCTGATGAACGAGTAAGTTTAGTTTACGAGAATCATCTTTGTTCGTCCGGTATTGGTTAATATGCCTTGTCACTAAATCATTTCCTTAAAGCTTGAATTAGATGTCTCTTTTTTTCTTCCTTTATGAGTTTCCTCTTAATTCTCTCCGCTAATGTAAGCTTGGAACTTTGAAAATGGTCCAACTGAAATTCATTTGGGGACACCAAACTTCTTTGTATGAGCAGATGGGTCAAACAGTTTAATTGAGAAAATTTCTAGTACTACGAAGCTTTTCCCGTCACATCAACTGTGTTTAAGAAGAACGTGGATCAATAAAATAAAATAATATATCAATTACCTACGTGTCTACTAGGTATTATTTCTCGGTTTATAACTCTTGGGTACAGCATGAAGCTCTAATTTTCTTTTTCTTCCATTGATGGCAGGTTCTTTTCTGCTTCATTCAAGTCGGGACAAGTTTCCGCATTTGAGAAGTAGACGATCAGGAGTTGAAGACGAAGATGGATGTACTGAGTTCATCTTTTGAGCTAATAGAAACCATGATTCAATGTGATTGAATTGATGTACATTCAAATGGGTTGTTATAGTAAATAATTTTGAAGGCCAAATATTAACTTTAATTTAGACATTTGAGAAAGTTAAATTTTAGTGTTACAGTGTGCAGCAGCTCCATATTTAGCCCATGAAATAAGAGTGCTATTCCAAGTATAATAAATTAATTGCAGTTGGATTGGAGATGCAACTTTTTTTT